TAAGTATCACTATTAAGTATCAATATTAAGTATCAATATTAAGTATCACTATTAAGTATCACTATTAAGTATCAATATTAAGTATCAATATTAAGTATCACTATTAAGTATCAATATTAAGTATCTCTATTAAGTATCAATATTAAGTATCAATATTAAGTATCACTATTAAGTATCAATATTAAGTATCAATATTAAGTATCACTATTAAGTATCTCTATTAAGTATCAATATTAAGTATCAATATTAAGTATCACTATTAAGTATCAATATTAAGTATCAATATTAAGTATCACTATTAAGTATCAATATTAAGTATCAATATTACATCACTATTAAGTATCTCTATTAAGTATCAATATTAAGTATCAATATTAAGTATCACTATTAAGTATCAATATTAAGTATCAATATTAAGTTATCATTAAGTATCAATATTAAGTATCAATATTAAGTATCAATATTAAGTATCACTATTAAGCATCACTATTAAGTATCTCTATTAAGCATCAATATTAAGTATCACTATTAAGTATCAATATTAAGCATCACTTAAGTATCTATATTAAGTATCACTATTAATTATCAATATTAAGTATCACTATTACATCAATATTAAGTATCACTATTAAGTATCAATATTAAGCATCACTATTAAGCATCAATATTAAGTATCACTATTAAGTATCACTATTAAGTATCAATATTAAGTATCATTATTAAGTATCACTATTAAATATCACTATTAAGTATCAATATTAAATTATCACTATTAAGTATCAATATTAAGTATCACTATTAAGTATCACTATTAAGTATCAATATTAAGTATCACTATTAAGTATCTCTATTAAGTATCAATATTAAGTATCAATATTAAGTATCACTATTAAGTATCAATATTAAGTATCAATATTAAGTATCACTATTAAGTATCAGTATTAAGTATCAATATTAAGTATCAATATCTACAACCAGAAGATCGATGACAAAATTACAACCCACGCTTTCAAGCTTTAATAATTTAAAATTCCAAAACTTCAAAGCAGAATTTTTTTTTTATAAAAACATTCTTTACATGCTCGATCGTAAGTGATTTGCACAATTTCTAGTGTTTTCCCGTTCTTACTCTATCATATTTCTGTTTTATTTCGTTTGAACCAGCTAGCTGCATATACTTATAAAAATAGTTCTTTGAATCCTAGAATATATACCTCTTGTAATGAGTTCACGTTTTATCATTTTAGTATTAAAAATTATCATTTATAAATTATCATTTTATAAATTATCATTTTATAAATTATCATTTTATAAATTATCATTAATCAATTATCATTTCAGTATCAATGCATGACCTTCACTAAAAGGATGAGCCCGAAATGTGATTTGCAGGTAAGGGACACTAAAATCAATCAGAAGCGGAATTTTAAATATCTAGAAAGTGTTTTGACGAAGGACAGTAAAGTAAGTGCGACGCTGAGATCCGAAGGACGCATTCCAAAAGCTAGGCGGAGCATCCCGAGACAGTAGGATTTCTTTGGTAACAAAGAAAAGAGTACTGAGCTGCTACGTCACATCTGTCCTCCTTTACGGCAGCGAATGTTGGTTATGAAGATGAGACTCGAGGCAACGGAGGTATGGTTCTACAGAAGGATGCTGGGGATATCAGACAGAGCTGTTGAGCAATGATGAAGTTTTGGGGAGAATACAAACAAGGAGGAAGCTTATACTTAACATCAGGAATCGGCAGGTGAAATTTCTGGGACACGTAATAAGAAAGGAGGGCTTGGAGAATCTGATACTCACAGGTCGAATAGAGGTAAAGAGTGACAAGGGAAAGCAACGATAACTTACCCGACGGGCTTATGCAAGTGGATGACAGGACGTGATCTGGGGGAAATGGCAGAGCGACGAAACCTTGAGAACTACAAGAGATAGGTGAGACACGGCATAAAAGAAGAAAAAGAAATTTACATTGGTAATTATAATTTGTTCAATTTATAATGAATTGGCGTGGTAGCGATTTTTAAGAGCTGAATTTATATTACTTAATATTTTTTATACCGTCCAATATTTTGTCAGTTCCTCTCTGCTAGTTTGTGGTGTGTGCCACGCACCCACGCCCGATATGGACCTTACATTCTCACCCTGTGGTGTGTGAGAGACTGCCACTCACCTTTTGTAAAAAAAAATATATGCTTTTTTGTTAATACCGTTTGGGATTATTGAAATTTCAAAAACGTGGGTTGCAAAGCAGTTCAAGTAGCATCTATATATTTTTAGTATACTGTCGGAATAGACATATTAATTAAGAACAGGCCATCAAATAAGATGAGTGTATCAGTGAGATGACCTAAGGTTAATCTCGGTTACTAAACTGAGTAGCACGTAATTCCATACCTGCATGCAGTTTGCAGGCGTGGATAAAATTTTTGATACAGGCGTTATATATATATATATATATATATATATATATATATATATATATATAGCTGCCACTCTGGAGATGAGATGCAGTCTCTCACATGTCCCGGGCGTGGTGCTAGGGAGAGGGTAGGGAATATAGTAAATAAAGCAGGTCAAATAATCTGGAATTTTGACCTAACACACCATCCAAGAATAGATCTAAGAAAAAAAAAACAACAAAAAAAAAAAAAAACCAAATGCATAAGGATCTGACCATGACCTCATTGATTCTCCACATCCTCATAATCATCACTTCCTGTCACTTCCGGTTTCATTCATATCACAACCACATTCATCATCACCATTTTAACAGTAACCCTCTACATGAAGTGGCTCTCGTGCCTTATATTTTTTTGAATTCTAATATAAAAAGAAATATTATCAAGCTTGGTTCTTGCCTATCATAACTGATGCAAGTGGAAAAGTCTTGAGCGTAAAGAAATTAGAAATTTCAGGAAGGGTTGAGATTGTGAAACCAATTCTGCGGTCTGCTAGGATCCAGTGAACAAGGCTTGAAATATGTGGAAACTTGCTGTCACTCTATCTACTGTGCCAACAGCCAGATAATAAAAATGCAATAAAAACACACCGCTGTTTCAAAAAAAAAAAAAAATCCCAGATCATCCTCCGCGACACATTTAGCTTGGGCAAACACACAGACGAGATGCTAATAAATACGACATTTGGCGTTTATCTTACATTCATCTGCTCCCGAAGATTACTGTTTACCAGGCACGTCATGTTGCGCATGCGTGTTTGCGCAAGAGGATGCATGAGGTTGGGGATATTAATATTGAGACGAATAATTCGCGTTTTGGAGTCGGTCACACAATTTCTATCTTGTGTCTCTCTAATTCTTATATTTTCTCACTCATTTCGCTGACTGTTTTCTTTTTCTTTTTTTTTTTTCGTTTATTTTTTTCCCCTGTGTCGTCTGCTCATTTCATATTTTTGTTTCGTTCGCAGTTGACGTTGGCTTGAACTTTGCTTCGTTTGACATGAATTTGTTTTTTTTTTTTCTTTTTTTATCCCACACTTTCTTTATATTTATATAAAAATTTCCCAGGACTATTTATACTATACTTTTTTCCTTTTCTACCTTCGTAAACTCAAATGCATGTTCTTTTTTATTCATTTTAGTCTGAGTTAACCAGTCTTTTTACCAAATATTTCTAATAATTTTATCATATTTCTCTCTTTTTATTATTCATCTAGTCATTTTCAACATTCATTTTTCAATCTCTAAATACATACCTAACTTTGACGTCACACACTACGAAAACGTTTATTGTTAACGTTATTTAATATGGACTCAAATATTTAAATAAATACTTTGTTTATAATAAACAGTATTAGCAACATTTACCAGTCTGAACGTTCAAGAAATTTTCATAAAAAATTTGCGTCCTCCACCAGGAATCGAACCCGTATCCAACACAGAACCGTCATATAGCCCGACGTGCTATACCAGTTTAGCTAAAAAGGAGAGTCTGGTTAGCACGGTCAATTTTACTGCTTTTAAACTACAATCTTCTATGATTTACTTCGAGCGATCATATCTGCTCGAAGCGTATTTAAAGGTAAACAAATGACGTCACACAAAACGAAACATAATGATTCTAAGTGTCTTTTTGTTTTTATTTCCCTTAAAATTTCTTCTCGCTGTTCACATACTCCGGCAATTGTATTCTCATTATTATTATTATTATTATTATTATTATTATTATTATTATTATTCAGGATCACGCTTCTTCACAATTTCCTTTTCTTTGTAGCTGTTAATACATTTTGTCTTGTTTTAAATCTCCCCTAAATCCTGTTCTGTGATCCATTTACTCAAGTTAATTGGTAGATTATGCATTGTTTTACTCTGTCCTCCTTGCCTTGAATCTGTCCTGTGAGTATCAAATTTTCCAAACCCTTTTTCCTTATTATGTGTCGTAGAAATTTCAACTTCCTCTTTCTGGTGATATGTAAACGTATCCCTTTTGTTTGCATTTTTATAAAACATCGTTGCTCAAATGTTCGGTCCATAGTATTCTCAGCATCCTTCTGTTGAGCTGTATTTGTTTTGCTTCAAGTCTTTTCTTCGTCTTTGAAGTGATTGCCCAGAATTTACTGCCATATAGGCGGACTTGTATTACATAACAGTTCAGCACTCTTTTCTAGGAATAGAAAAATATTTAAAAAATAAGTCCACTTTCCTCATTATGTTTCTATTTGATGTTACGTCATAGTGTTCTTTTTGTCTCCATTTTCTCTAAGACTTCGTCATTGCTCACATGTTCGATCCATGGTATTCTCGGCATCCTTCTGTAAAACAACATTTCTGTTGCTTCAAGCCTCTTCTTCATCTTCTGCCCAGAATTTGTTCTCGATTACCTGGCGCTAACGATATATATTTTTACAATGTGTTTTCTGTCTGTCTATCAAACTTTAACCATTTCTTACTTTCCTCTGTAACCAATGTAAGCCGAATACGAATTCACCCATTTTTAACGTGTTTTCTTTTTTTTTTTTACGTATTCCCATTCATGTTATCTGTTAGAAATTCTTTCATTTACCTTTCATCACCAACCATTTCATTTTTATTTTGTTTCGCACGTCTCAGCCAGGCCTTTTCTTCCCAGAAGAAACGGCGCCTTCGGTCTTTCTTCACCATCATTATATCTTGATTAGATAAGTTGGCCTGAAGAGATATTAAAAGCTATATAACACTGTTAATTCCAATCATTAATGGAAATTACTTGTCTCTTTTTCAATCGATTTAATTATTCACCTGTCTATTTTTTTTTTAGAAGGTAGGTGCGGTAGCGGGAACAGATGAAAGAGGCAGTGGATTTGGAGCATGAAAGAATCAAGCGAAGAAGGGAGAGTTTATATATTTCATTTTCATTTTTATTCGATGTTTCTTTCACAAATTCTATTTTTTCTTCTCATTTTTATTTTCGGAAAGAATAATTCTTTAATTTTCTCTTTTGAGTACTAGAAACAATTCTTCGCCTTTTCAACAATCTTTCTTGTTTTTCTTCCTTTTTTTAAAAAAGAAACTTTTCTTTTCTTCCATTCGTACATCTTTCCCAAATTCCTTTCCTTATGATCTTATTTCTTTCTTTTATCTCCTCTCTCCTTTTATCATTTCTTTCTTTCTTTCTTTCTTTCTTTCTTTTATCTCCTCTGTACTTTTATCATTTCTTTCTTTCATCTCCTCTCTCCTTTTATCATTCTTTCTTTCTTTCTTTCTTTCTTTTATCGCCTCTCTACTTTTATCATTTCTTTCTTTCTTTCTTTTATCTCCTCTCTCCTTTTATCATTTCTTTCTTTCTTTCTTTCTTTCTTTCTTTCTTTCTTTCTTTCTTTTTTTTTATCTCCTCTCTCCTTTTATCATTCTTTCTTTCTTTCTTTCTTTCTTTCTTTCTTTTTTCTTTCTTTTTATCGCCTCTCTACTTTTTATCATTTCTTTTTCTTTCTTTTCTTTCTTTTTTTATCTCCTCTCTCCTTTTATCATTTCTTTCTTTCTTTCTTTCTTTCTTTCTTTCTTTCTTTCTTTCTTTTATCTCCTCTCTCCTTTTATCATTCTTTCTTTCTTTCTTTCTTTCTTTTATCGCCTCTCTACTTTTATCATTTCTTTCTTTCTTTCTTTTATCTCCTCTCTCCTTTTATCATTTCTTTCTTTCTTTCTTTCTTACTTTCTTTCTTTCTTTCTTTCTTTCTTTCTTTCTTTCTTTCTTTTATCTCCTCTCTCCTTTTATCATCCTTTCTTTCTTTCTTTCTTTCTTTTATCTCCTCTCTACTTTTATCATTTCTTTCTTTCATCTCCTCTCTCCGTTTATCATTCTTTCTTTCTTTCTTTCTTTCTTTCTTTCTTTCTTTCTTTCTTTCTTTCTTTCTTTTATCTCCTCTCTACTTTTATCATTTCTTTCTTTCTTTCTTTCTTTCTTTCTTTCTTTCTTTCTTTTATATCCTCTATAATTTTATCTTTCTTTCTTTCTTACTTTCTTTCTTTCTTTCTTTCTTTCTTTCTTTTATCTCCTCTCTCCTTTTATCTTTCTTTCTTTCTTTCTTTTATATCCTCTCTCCTTTTATCATCCTTTCTTTCTTTCTTTCTTTCTTTCTTTCTTTCTTTCTTTCTTTCTTTCTTTCTTTCATCTCCTCTATACTTTTATCTTTCTTTCTTTCTTTCTTTTATCTCCTCTCTCCTTTTATCATCCTTTCTTTCTTTCTTTCTTTCTTTCTTTCTTTCTTTCTTTCATCTCCTCTATACTTTTATCTTTCTTTCTTTCTTTCCTTTTTCTTTTTTTTTTTTTTTTTCTTTCTTTTATCTCCTCTCTCCTTTTATCTTTCTTTCTTTCTTTTATCTCCTCTCTCCTTTTATCATCCTTTCTTTCTTTCTTTCTTTCTTTTATCTCCTCTCTCCTTTTAGCTTTCTTTCTTTTTTTTATCTCCTCTCTCCTTTTATCATCCTTTCTTTCTTTCTTTCTTTCTTTCTTTCTTTCTTTCTTACATATCACTTTCCTTCTTTACAACCTTCTTTCCTTATTGACTCACCTTTTTTTTTTACATTAAGCTTCATCCTGTATAAGGTTCGGGGGCCACTCGAGGTAGAGGATTGCGTTAAGGGAGAGTTTATATTGAAAGTAGCTGAAGATAACAGTTAATTCTTGACTTGAACTTGATGGACTACACAGGGAATGTGGATGGTTTGCTATTATGTAAGTGGTACGTCGGGTCCTAGCCGTAAAGTTAAGACCTGACGGCATCAAGGAATGTAGTTCGTCCGAGCACTTTTCATGGTAGTAGCGACAGAGCAGTAAGAGACTCGACACATCCCCGCCAATGAGAGAGAGAGAGAGAGAGAGTTTAGAAATTGGAAAATAATTCTACTCCAACAATTATTCGAAGACGCCTTTGACCCTCTATCAAGACCGAAAAATGAGGACTTGGCACCTCTTTAGTAACCTTCCTTCTGCTTTAATCTTTTCCTGTTCTACTCCTCCCTATTTTCCTGAAGCTTACGGCCATATCACGTTGAATCAACGATTCCCCATGAAGTTAAGCAACGTCAAGCCTGGTCAGTACCTAGATGCGTAAGCGCTTGGGAATTCCAGTTGCTGTAAGCGTGGTTGGTCGCATGGTGTAATGGATAACGGAATTGGAATTCGGCTCTCAGAGTTCCAATTCCAATCGGGTTCGTTTTATTCCATTACGCGTAAATACCATTGAGGAAAGTTTGACTCCAACTTTTCCCCACACTGCAGTTATAGGTTATTTAGTAGGACTTGCATCAGTAAATTATTATTATTTTTAAAAAAATCTCGCAGTCGAAAAATATTTTCTGGCATTAAATAATACACGAATGGTTAATAAACGATAAAAACAAATCAATCACTCAGTTCTCAGTTATTGGAGTTATTCTTGACTTTTCCTTTCCATTCTTAGTGATTTTTCCTTTTTTCTCGCCATTCATACTTTCCTTCTTTCCTTCCTTCCTTCCTTCCTTCCTTCCTGTTTAGCGTATTCTTCGATCCATTTTCTCAACCCGCTTTTCTTCCTTCCTTTCATACATTCTTCTGACGTACCATTCCTTCCTTCCTTCCGTCCTTCCTTCCTTCTTTCCTTCTACTCTTCCTTCCACTTTTAGCGTGTTCTTGTTTCCGTTTTCTCAACCCACATTCCTTCCTTTTTTTCATAAATTCTTTTCATCTATCCTTCCTTCCGTCCTTTCTTCTGTCCTTCCTTCTTTCCTTCCTTCCTTCTCATTTTAGTGTATTCTTCATTCCATTTTCGCAGCCCACTTTTCATTTTTTCTTTCATACATTATTTTCGCATACATTCCTTCCTTCCTTCCTTCCTTCCTTCCTTCCTTCCTTCCTTTCGTCTATCCCCTTTTAACGTATTATTAAATTCATTTTGCTCACCTCACCTTCCTTCCTCCCGTTCGTCCGTCCTTCCATCTGTCCGTCTTTTCTTCCTTCCTTACGTTCATCCTTCCTTCCTTCCTTACGTTCATCCTTCCTTTCTTCCTTCCTTCCTTCCTTCTGCTCGTCCGTCCTTCAATCCGTCCGTCTTTTCTTTCTTCCTTCCTTCCTTCCTTACGTTCATCCTTTCTTCATTCCTTCCGTCCATCCTTCCTCCCGTTCATCCTTCCTTCCTTCTGTTTGTCCGTCCTTACTTCCTTCCTTCCATTCTTCCGTTCTTCCTTCCTTCCACTTGTTCGTCCGTCCTTTCTTCTTTCCTTCCCCTTGTTCGTCCGTCCGTCCTTACTTCCTTCCTTCCTTCCATCCTTCTGTTCTTCCTTCCTTTCTCTTGTTCGTCCGTCCGTCCTTCCTTCCATCCTTCCGTCCTTCCTTCCTTCCTTCCATCCTTCTGTTCTTCATTCCTTCCCCTTGTTCGTCCGTCCGTCCATCCTTACTTCCTTCCTTCCTTCCTTCCTTCCATCCTTCTGTTCTTCCTTCCTTTCTCTTGTTCGTCCGTCCGTCCGTCCTTCCTTCCATCCTTCCGTCCTTCCTTCCTTCCTTCCATCCTTCTGTTCTTCCTTCCTTCCCCTTGTTCTTCCGTCCGTCCTTCCTTCCTTCCTTCCTTCCGTTCTTCCGTCTTACCATCCTTACTTCTATTCCATTTTAGCGCATTATTTTCACAATCCACTTTTGGAAATTTAGAAGCGTGTGTGTGTATTTATGTGTGAGGAGAGAGAGAGAGAGAGGGGGGGAGAGAGAGAGAAGAGTGTCTGTATGTCAGAGGAAAAATGCAAACCTAGGAATCAACACTGAATAGTTATTGCCAGTTTCACGTTTCAAGCTATGTCTTGAGATGTGAAACTGAAAATAAACATTCAGTGTTGATTCCTAAGTACACACGGTAAGTAATATAGTAAGTACTGTTTCTCATATTTTATCCATACATATGTGTGCGTGTGTGTGTGTTTGCGTGGATTGGTATCCCAAAACTACTTGGGTTCATAAATGTCAACTATAATTCTGCTAATTGCTGCGACCCTATACAGGTGCGGTTTCGGCCTGCAATAACCCTCCAAGTAAATTAGTACTGAAACTAAAAGAGGCCAATCATGTTATCAGCCTACCGTTCCATTCCGTCTCTGTGTATATATAGAAAGTGCGCTATTATAAACAAATTGTAATATAAAGATAAACAAAGAAATGTAACAGAAAATGAGTATATATATATATATATATATATATATATATATATATATATATATTTTTTTAATACAAACAGAGTCAACTTAGAAAAAATAAAAATAAGAAAGATTATTCACTAAAACTACCCTGAGCCTTGAAGACGTCTTTGATTGTCGGCGGAATTAAATGAATGTCCGGGTCATGTTGACCTCGTTCACAAGAAAGACCGTCAGTAGATACTTTGACGGCGCTAGCTGGGCTCGCCTCTAGACGACACTGAAGACATAGTAACACATGGTGTGAAATCAAGAGGCCTCGGTGGCTAGATATTGAGGGATATATGAACATGAAAATCCTTGACCATCCGCTTTTGCGTTATCTACGCCATGTTAGGTCGCCTTTTATTCCTGGTCTACGCAAAACACGTCTTCAGCTACCACTCTCTCTCTCTCTTTCTTTCTCTACGCACACACACACACACATATATATATATAGATATATGTAAGCAAATATATGGATATAGATCCGACAGTATGAAGAAAAATATACGGAAAAAACAAACAAAAATCTTAATATGTAATTATGCTGATATTATGTTAATATAAAGTCAACGTCGGACGTTTCGGTCTATTTTATATTATCATTAATACAGCATAATTATATATTAAGATTTTTGTTTGTTTTTTCTGTATATTTTTCTTCATATAGATATATATAGATATATATATATATATATGTACATTTCCTCACCGTGCTGACTGAAAACTGACCGTTGAATAATTTAAATATTTATATGGATTATATATAATTAGTTGTGCTACCGGTAAGGCAAAAATGTTTATTTATTATTAATATAAATTGTAGCTCTGCTATTATACATTAAGCACTATTTTATTAACATCATATATATATATATATATATATATATATATATATATATATATATATATATATATATACAGATAAGAGAAAGAACAAATGGAGTAAAAATCTACAGTTCGTAACATTTATTTTAAAAAGTGCTCAATACAAAGTAGAGCAAAATATTATTATTATTATTATTATTATTATATTTTTATTATAAGAGATTATAATAAAAACATTTTAAATCTCTACACGAAAGCTTTTATGTTTTAATATTATGATTATACTTCGGCATAGTGGCGACTACACCTGCTTCTCCCAGTAGGCTTTTCTGGTAAGGAGGATGGCTAGACACCAAGCAGGAACAGAACATGACTTGTCAAAGGGCGAATGAATCCTTTCATGGGATCAACAGTCACTGAGATGTAGAAATAACTGGATTTGTTGTCTCGGCGCGGAAAGCCCACTGGCAACATTGGACTCTATACTCTAAGTTATCCAACTAGAAGAAAAACATCTGCAGTTTGAAAACAATGTAAATTAGTTCTTTTTGGGTCCACACTGTTCTTATTAAGGTAATCAGGACTGGGCAAGTAACGTCTTTCTACCAAAATGTTGTACACAGGCTTTGCTTGATATCATAAAGCACAACTGAATCTTGCAATGACATCTTGACATCTTGCTACGGTTATACTTCATAACGAGATAGCAGCTATCATAATGTATGTGTTTTTGAGGTAATTACTCAGCTATATAATATTTCAAAAATGCAGCCTATCTCTGGCAATGGTACGTTTGTTCTCTTCAAATTACGTTCTACTTATGTAAGCGACCTTTGAAAACTAATGATCAAAATAATCTGCAAAGTATGTTTTTGTCATTTTTATAAGCTGTCTCACAATAAACAGGCTCAACAGGGGAGTGTCTACCCACGTTCTCGATATACCAAAAAAGGTTGGACAGATTTTCGTACAGACATCATATATATATATATATATATATATATATATATATTAAGAAATGGACAAGGTCCGACAATTTATTTATTAAAGACATATTTTTATGTTTAACGTTGTTATTTCATAGATACAAGTATTTAAGCAAATGCTCTGTTTATGATAAACAGTATTAAATAACATTTACCGGCCTGAATGTCCGAGAAATTTTCATAGAAAATATTCGTTCTTTGACAGGATTCGAACCTGCATCCTATACGGAACCGTCATATACGCTGACGTGCCTTACCGCTTAAGCTACAAAGAAGGCACGTCATCCAAGACAATTTCTTTCCTTCACCCTTTCTTTCGCCCTTTATATATCTTTCTTTCTTTCTTTCTTTCTTTCTTTCTTAATCGCCTCCTTTTTTCAACCTTTTTTCGATTTTTATATATTTTTTTAATCATTACATTTCTTACTTTTTCTTTGACTATTACGCCCTTTCGCTATACTTCTTTCTTTCTTTCTTTCTTTCTATACCTTTTCGTGATTTATATTTCCTTTTTCTTTCTTTCTCTCTCTCTCTCTTTCTTTCTTTTGCTCTTTACATTTTTTTCGTTCGTCCTTTTTTTCTTACGCCCTTTACATTTCTTTCTTTCTTTTGTCCTTCCTTTCATTCACCCTTTTTCTCTCTTTATATTTCTTTCTTTCACCATTAAGCCCTTTCGCGATATATATTTCCTTTTTCTTTCTTTCTCTCTGTCTTTCATTCTTTCTTTCTTTCTTACTTTCTTACTTCCTTTCTTTCCTTGTATTGCTCTTTACATTTCTTTCTTTCTTTCTTTCTTTCTTTCTTTCTTTCTTTGTATTGCTCTTTACATTTCTTTCTTTCTTTCTTTCTTTCTTTACCTCTACGCCCTTTCGTGACTTACATTTCCTTTTTCTTTCTTTCTCTCTGTCTGTCTTTATTTCTTTCGTTCTTTCTTTCACACTGTACATTTCTTTCTTTCTTTCTTTCTCTCTGTCTGTCTTTATTTCTTTCGTTCTTTCTTTCACACTGTACATTTCTTTCTTTCTTTCTTTCTTTCTTTCTTTCTTTCTTTCTTTCTTTTGCTCTTTACATTTATTCCTTTTGTGCTTTCTTTCATCTTTCTTTCTTTCTCTTTGTCTTTCTTTCTTTCTTTCTCCTTTTCGCCCTTTCATCCTTTAAATTTCATTTTTTTTAGTTTTACATTTCTTTCGTTCTTTCTTTCGTCCTTTCTTTCTTTTGCGTTTAACCTTTCTTTCTTTCTTCCTTTCTTTCTTTCTTTCTTTCTTACTTTCTTTCTTTCTTTCTTTCTTTCTTTCTTTCTTTCTCTCGCTCTTTGTCTTTCTTTCTTTCTTTCTTTGCTTAGTCTTCCCATCATCCTTTCATTATTATTCTTCCATTTCCTGCCTCCCCTACTACATCCCCGCTTCATCGTCTTCATTTCATTTCATTTTTTGTCGTTCATTCGCTACACTTTATTTGCAAAGACTGACAAGTTCTTTCACAAGGTTCCTGTCTGGCAGCACGCTCACCAAGATGGATCCAACCTGATATGGCAAGAAGGTTGATTTAACAAACACTCTCCCCAATGATTGGATGCTGACCTTACGGGTTCTACTCTGAAGTAAATCTGGGCGTCTGGACGGACAGAAGTACGATTCAGTGAATGAAGGTCTGGCTGGTGTATGCGATCGTCTTTAGACAGAAAGAAAAACAACGAATCGAGGAACAGGGTTGGTAATGGTTCTCATTGGTCAGAAGTACAAAGAACAAGTTGAAGAAATATGGCGGGAATCGATGAGTGATACATGGCGGCAACTTCGTAAAGAAAAAAAAACCCGCGAAAATCGAGCTGTGTGAAAGTAAATAGTTTGGGGCATTTATGCTTTTGGTTTCTCCAGGACAAAATGAAAAGAAAAGAAAAAGAAAGCAGTGGACCACTTGTGGGCAGAAGGATTTACTTCCCAGATCCTTGGAGAAACAGCTTCATAGGATCCTATTAATACCGTCAGTATCTCTTAATTTCCTGTCTTTGATGTATTCAATAGAAAACTGTCTTTACACATTTTCTCTATCATACCGATCGTAGAATATGTACCCAGCCACGTTCTGTCACGATTTCTTTTAATAAATTACATTGCTGTCTGATAGTTCCATTTCGCGAAAATAATCTTTAAAAAGGCATGAATCGAATACTCCCTATATTCTTGCTAATAAGCTTCACATAGTCTTGTTAAAGGTGCAGTAAGCTATCTTCCCCTGATTAATACTTTAATTAAACAATATGGGGAATATTATGTGCTTTCAGCTTGGATGTGCGGGTGGTGTAATGGATAATGGCTTTGAATTATTAATCAGAAAGCCGAGTTTCAATTCCAGCTTTGTTCGTATATTTACTTACGGGCAAATAACCTTGGGAAAGATATGAATCCATCTCTTCTGCTCCCAGCTATGGGTTAATTAGTAAGACTTGTATCACTAAAACATTATTATTTTTAAAAAAGATTTTAAAATTCTGGCTTTAAATAACCTGTAAAGGGTTGATAAACCGTAGAAAACGAACCGATGAATCAATTAGACAATAAAAATTAATATATTTAGCAGAAAACGTTACAGAAATAACGCTGAAGAAAACTGTCCAATTTGTTGAATAATTCCTTCAAGTGGGTTGAATAATAGTTATAATAATATATAAAAAAAAACATGTAAGAAACTTTATTCAGTAATAAAGGAATCCAACAAGTTCAAAATGGAGTTTCAAATGGGTAAATAAATTCATTAAAAGTATAATACATCGAATGAAGCTGCAAAATACTTAAAAAAGAAAGCAAAAGCAAATGCATCAGACCGGATACAGAAACGATGGCAAGATAAACCGCTTTATGGCCAATACTCTGTCAGTACCAAACAAGCTGATGTAGACAAACCCAGTACTTATCTTCTTAGCTACGTAGTGTAGGGTTAAAAGCTGAAACCGAAGGTTTTCTTCTTGCAGCACAGGACCAATGCTTGCTAACTTGAAATTATCAAGCACACATAGTGAAAAATTGTGTTAGCCCAAAATGCAGATTCTGTGATAAATATCCAGAAACAATTGACCATCTTGTATTAGGTTGTCCGGTATTGGCATCCACTAAATATAAAACCTGGCATGACAGAGTGGGCCAATATCCGAACTGGAAAATCTGCAACTTTTACGAAAATGAAACTGCAAAAAATTTGCATAAACACCACCCAGACCTGTTACAATTTTATGGACTTTAAAATCCACACAAAAAGATCAATCAAATCTAATCGCTCAGACATCTTGATTAGAGGCCACAAAAACAAAACGCGCCCCCCTTATTCACATGGCAGCCCTTGCAGACTGAATTGTATCTTTGAAGATCTTAAAAAAAAAACTATCCAAATACAAGGAACTTGATTTCGAAATCTCAAAAATGTAGCACATGAAGACATCAAAAATTTCTATTGTAGTTGGAGCCCTCCGATTGGTTGGAAAAGATTCCAACAGAAACATTGAAGGGATCCTAGGTAGCCTATGTCTTAATGAAATACAAAAAAAAATGTTGTTGTTACGAATCCAGCCCACACCTTACGAAGAGCTTTATCTATGTAAAATATGTGCGATTTTTTTTTGTAAAAATTGCTCTGTGAAAGATGTCATGATGCCATTTCTGTTCGTATGTCTCTGGCCGGACTCAGAAAAAAATGGGTATACACCAGAAATCAATGGAAATAATAATAATAATAATAATAATAATAACGGAGATAGGACCTGTTACAATTCTATGGGACTACACAATACACATTGACAGAACAATCAAAGCCAACCGCCCAGACATTGTTATTAAAGACCACAAACAAAAATGTGCCTCCTTATTGATATGGCAGTCCCTGCCGACTGCAATGTATCTTTGAAGATATTCAAAAAGGTGTCAAAATACAAGGACCTAGAAATAGAAATCTCGAAAATGTGGCACATGGAAACATCAACAATCCCTGTTGTATTTGAACCCCTATGACTGGTTGGAAAAGATTGCAGTAGACTAATTGAAGGGATTCCTGGAAGTCCATGCATCAAGGAGATACAAAAAATCGTTCTGACAAGTACAGTCCACACTTTACGAAGGGCTTTATCTATGTAATATTTTTTTTTGTCAGTGGAAAGTGTCATGATGCCATTTCTAACCTTAGGTCGCTAAGCGGGACCTGGAAAGAAATGTGTAAACGCCAGAAATCAAAGGAAATAAAAAAAAAATAATAATTAATAATAATAATTAATAATAATAATTAATAAGTGTTATGGGGTCCACCCCTTTCTCATACAAGTGGACTCGACCAGTGTGTACTTGAACTGCTGCCGTTTAATACCCAGAGTCAGTCAGAGTAGAGATTGAGAGCAGTGATTGTGATTGAATTGGATGTAGAGTAATAGTGTGAGGTAACCGCTTGTAGAAGTCACAGCTGATAGCACGTAGACTCTAAGGAAGTCCTACTTCGAGACTGGATTTACCAGACTGTACACACACACACACACACACACATACACACACACACACACACACACACACACACATATATATATATATATATATATATATATATATAATAATTATTATTGCTACTAACCGCATTTCTGGATCTACTAACCGTATTACCAATTGTATTATTGCGTCAATACATTTATTTGCTATATTTCATTCCTGCATTTGTCATTCATTGGAGACCTGATTTCATCTCGGAATCCACAACAATAAGTAATAATAATAATAATTAATAATAATAAATAATAAAAATGAATAATAATAATAAATAACAATAATAATAAATAATAATAATAATAATTAATAATAATTAATAATAATAATAATAATAATAACAATTAATAATAATAATAATTATTAATAATAATAATAAATAATAATAATAATAATAATTAATAATAATAATAATAATAATACCTGGATCCTACACTAGGCATGCCCTAAATCTAATATCTCAATGGTGAGAAATTGGCATGCAGTGTTTAATACCTCCAAAAACAACTTATTTCTTTTTCTCCAGTCATAATGGACTGTTGTACAGTTAATGAGGATCCTTACCTTAAATTTTCAGTTGGGCCAAAAAATCACTCTAGACCTCAATTGGACCTCTCATATATAGGATTCAAAGATGCTGGCAAAGTTGTTGGTTCCTTGTGCCGCCTCACAAAGGTACCCAACACTTACTATACGGTGCAATATTGTTACTAAAGTCCGATTGGACTAAAAATGGAGCATTGCTATCATATCTTGGCTGGAGTTGCCAAGTTCCCACTTTCCAGACATAACAAAGTTCAGAAGCTTTTTTTTGCGATCTCGTGGGTGGTGAATTATCTTCAAAACATACCTTGCCCTTTCCCATAGACGAAAGGTCGCAAGCCGTTTATTACACTATCGCTATTTCCATGGCAAGTGTTTAGATGGGCTACATTCCTTTGCTTCACCGACATTTACAGCTAAAACCGGTCATGCTACGTACATAAGGTTGAATCATCCGTATTACCTTCGTATTCGATTGGTAAGGAAGAAGACAGAATCGCTACATTCGGGAACAGACTCCCGAGAGGATGCTCTCCCGACTTTTACAATTTTAACCTCTTCAAGTATACAGTCAACCGTTATCTATCCTACATATCCTCAATCCTGTCTTTTCCTTCATATGTCCATACAAGAAGTTTCCACCTTCATTGGATCTTGGGTGAACGCTTAATAAACAAAATGTCATATATGTTCCGCAGCTTTTTTTTCAATTCTATGTTGAATCTTGTATTCAGACTATTATCCTTATTATTTGTATCATAACCATTTAGCTGACGTTTTCTTTGGCATTCTTCAAGTGTATGGAACATGAACTGGACTTTATATGTCATTATACACATTATTATGACCAGTATCTTTATATGGGTAAGGCCGAAGAATATAAGTGTCGTTGTTTTGTGATAAAAGTAAAAAAGAAATATACTGCATAAAAAGATGTATTGAGTGGCGTCAAAAATCCACTAAGCATAACATTCACCCAAGATGGGCCTAGAACAAATTGTTATAATATAAAACAATAACGAGAAGGATACTGTTTTGATAAAGTGTAAATGCGATGTCTTAATACCACTGGTTGTAACAGACACTTGAATAATGCGTAGATTATCATCTAAAGACCAAAGAATGCAACACAGACCTGAGGAAGGCTCTAGAACGTATCAGCCAAAATGCTGTGTTAAAAAGCAATAAAAAGAAAGATACTGTTTTGATAATGTGTAAATTCGGCGTATAAATACGAGTGGATTCAACAGACACTTGGGAAAAAAGATAAGAAAAAGAACTCAACCAAAAAGTTATAAGAAAAACAATGAAAATGAAGATACTGTCTAAATAATATATCGAGTGTCACTTAAAAACAACTGCATTCAACACTCTCATAAGAAATGACGATAAATATATCGCATGAAATTATATATTTAAAAGAAGAGCCCGGGAAAATATTTAGAACGAAGAAAATTTCACTTCTCT